TTTTTTTTTTTTTTTTTTACCTTTTCTAATGTACTATTTTTTGAGGTGAAATTCGCATAGCGTACAAGTAACCATTTTAAAGTGAACAATCCAGTGACATTTGGTACATTCACAACGTTGTGCCACCACCACCTCCATCTAGTTCCAGAACGTTTTCATCCCCCCACGAGATGAACTCCAGACCCATTAAGCAATCACGGCCCATTGCCTCCTCCCCCGGCCCCAGGCAACCACCAATCTGAACTAGATCTCTATGGTTTGCCTACTGGGGACATTTCATACAATTGGAATGATATCGACATGGGACATTTTGTATCTGGCATATATTATCATCATGTTTTTGAGGTTTGTCCACAACATAGCATGCGTCAGTCCTTTATTCCTTTTTTAAAATGTTTTTAATGTTTTTTTTACTTTTGAGAGAGAGAGATAGCACACGAGGTGGAGGGGCAGAGAGAGAGGGAGACACAGAACCCGAAACAGGCTCCAGGCTCTGAGCTGTCAGCACAGAGCCCGACACGGGGCTCCAACCCACGGACCGCGAGATCATGATCTGAGCCGAAGTTGGACGCTCAACCGACTGAGCCCCCCAGGCAGCCCAGTGCTTTCTTCCTTTTTATTGATGAGTACTATTTCATTGTATAGAGAGACCACATTAGCCCTCATTCTTTTTAAAGGCCGCATGGCATAGATGCCCACGGCTTGTTGAACCTGTGCCCCACCAGTTGACATTTAGATTGTTCATCACCTCCTGCTATTACCCATGATGCTTCTGTGAGCTGCCCCACGCATATAAATTGGCAGGAAGAGCCACAGAGTAAAGTTCTAGAAACAAAATCTCTAGGCCAAAGATTGCGTGTGTTAGGATGGATCCCACCAGTCTATATTCCAGATATGCTCTCCCAACCACGGTGTCTGGGACTTCTGTTTACCCGTTACCTTCACAAGCTTCAAAAACGTTCACCAATCTGATAGGTAAAAACTGGCATCATTTTATTTTCATTTTTAATAACTTTTCATATGCTTATTTGCAGTTGAACTTCCTGTTTGATATCTTTGATCCCTTTTTTCTTCTCTTGGGTTGTTTTGTCCTTTCCTTATTAATTTGTATAAGCCTGTTCTTTGCGGATTAAGGAAATTAGCTCATATGTTACGGAAATTAGCTCTTCGGCTGGCTCACCATGCGATTTTTTTTTTTTTTTTTTTTTTTTTTTTTTTTTTTTTTACTTTGAACACGGAAGGTTTTTTTGTTCACTGAAGTTTTAATTTTCTATGCTGGCCAGTTTATTAACCATTTCCTTTATGGCTTTTGAGACTTGGATCCTACCTAGAAAGGCTTTTGCCCACTCCTTCCCATAAATAACTAGACCCAGTCTTTCTTCCTGATCATTTGTGGTCTTATTTGTAATAAATCTTTACTTTGTAATAATTTTTGTAATTAAAGTTTTGATCCAGCTCCATTTATTTTGGGGTAAGAATTGGGCTTCCATGGGGCGCCTGGGTGGCGCAGTCGGTTGAGCGTCCGGCTT